TTCTGGGGTGTTGGCTACTCCTGTCAGTTTGGTGTAATCTGCAAATTCGATGAGTTCCCCTTCAATTCCCTCATCTAAGTCATTGATGAAGATATTAAAAAGTACTGGGCCTAAGACAGAACCTTGTGGTACCCCACTACTTACTTTTCTCCATGTGGATGCAGTGCCATTGAGGACTACTCATTGAGTACAGTTTGTCAGCCAGCTACAGATCCATCTGGTGGTGTTGTCTATTCCACCTTTTTCTAGTTTACCAAGGAGTAGGTTGTGGTCTACTTTATCAAATGTCTTACTGAAATCTAAGTATACTATCTCCACAGCATTTCACTGGTCTACTGTTTAGTCACTTTATCAAAGAATGAAATAAGATTGGTTTGGCATGATCAGTTTTTAACAAACCCGTGCTGGCTACTGGTTATGACTTTGTTTGCTTCTACTTGTTTGCAGATCTGTTTTTTGATTATCTTTTCTAGGATCTTCCCAGGTATTGATGTTAAACTGATTGGTCTGTAGTTTCCTGGGTCCATTTTCCCCCTTTCTTGAATATGGGAACCACATCAGCCCTTTTCCAATCCTCAGGTACTTCCCTGGTGCTCCAGGATTTATGACAGATGTGGTGCAATGGTTCTGAGATAACATCTGCCAGCTCTTTCAGAACTCTGGTGTCATGGCTCCGACTAACGAAACACTTCAAAGAACTTTCAGGCATTGTTTATCCTAAAAAGTCTTTAATCGTGAAACGAAGTGTCAGCACAGCATGGTGAATGCCAAGATCTGAATTCCCCTCCCTTCAGCACATAATATCTGGCACAATTCCCTCCTCCAATTAGTCATAAATCATGTTCTCCAATCAGTTTGAAGGGCAAAGCTTCCCTTCCGTTCTGTCATGCACCATTTCTTATCTTATTAAATACAATCAGGGGAAACATTCTTCCTCCTCCCCCCAGCATCTTCTAATTCTAAGAGCAAAGTATCATGTGTCTGATTAACGAAACACTTAAAAGGACTTTCAGGCATATTTTCTCCTAAAAGCATTTATTAAGGTTACAGAGACGTCAGTGCAGCATGGTGGAAATGCTTAGGTCTGGCTTCTCTTCCGTTACGCATATACATTTTAAGCATTTCCCCCCCCTTTTGGGGTCATGGTTCACATCTTCCAATCAACTTGGAAGATGTGATTTACTTCCGGTTTCTTTTTCCCGGGCTATCCTTATTCTCCTCCCTTTTTTCTGTTGCCTGGTTTAACTATAAAAATGCCAGACAGTTCTGCATATTGTCAAAGCAAGAATGTACAGTATTTGCAGCGTTGACACAAAGCAAAGTAAAGGAAAAGGCTGCCTCTTCATATTGTCAAAGCAAAAACATCCAATGTTTGCAGCGTTGACATCCGGCCCCCTTTACAAAAAGGATAGATCCTGTAATGTAAACAAAAGCATATGTCAGGGATTATCTCTTGGTTTGTTGGGATTTTTCTCATGAAACATTTTGATGAGTTGGTCAGCCTTCACATCGCTAGATTTCACCCAAGTAGCTTCAGACAGCGAGTACCCCTTCCATTGTACTAGGTACTACGATTTCCCTTTAAAAATTCTAGAGTCAAGACTACGTTTCACTTCATAGTGAGTCCGACCTGCTACTACGAGGGGCCCGGGTGCCTTCTTAGGGGGGGTGTCTTAAGGTGGAGTCCCGAAAAGGTTTCAGCAGGCTGCAATGGAAGACAGGGTGAACTCTCCCTAAACGCCTAGGGAGTTTTAATTCTACTATGACGGGGTTTATGATCCTTACGATGGGGAAAGGCCCCAAGAATTTCGGTTCTAATTTCTTGCTGGGCAATTTGAGGCGTAAATATTTAGTCGACAGATAAACCTTTTCCCCAACTTGGAATGTTCTTTGGGGAGCCCTCTTTTTATCAGCCTGCTTTTTATAGGTCTCGGAAGTGTTTTTTAATGCAGTTTTTGTGTTTCTCCAAACTTCTTTCCACCCCCTCACCCATTGATCAAGTGTCTGGGAAGCGGAGGGCACCTTGAGGTATTCAGGTATTGGGCTGAACTCTTTTCGTGTGGCTACTCTGAAAGACGTGTAGCCGGTGCTGCTGTGCACAGAATTATTGTAAGCCACCTCAGCGAAAGGGAGGAGGTCAGTCCAGTTTGTCTGTTGGTAGGACATGTAGCATCTGAGATATTGCTCCACCATTTTGTTAGCAGATTCTGCAGCCCCATTGGTAGCCGGATGAAAAGCAGATGATAAGCCTTGAGATGATCCAATTAATTTAAGAAATCTCCTCCAAAATTTTGCTGTAAATTGCACCCCTCTGTCCGAAATTATTCGCTTAGGGGCGCCATGTAGCCGGTAGATATGTTTCAGGAACAATTTAGTCAGTCGGGCAGATGGGAGTCCTTTGCAGGCGATGAAATGAGCCTCCTTCGAGAACAGGTCTATCACAATCCAGATGACTGTATTTCCTCTACTTTTAGGCAGGTCTACTATAAAGTCCATAGCTAATTTCTTCCCATGGTTGAGAGTGGTCTGCTACTGGTTGCAGTAGCCCAGGGAGGTTCCCTGGAATTCTTTTCATGGTGTCACATACAGTACAACTCCTGACATAGTTTTCTACATCTCGTTTTAGCACCGGCCACCAGAATTGCCATCGGATGAGGTGTAGAGTTTTTAAATATCCAAAGTGTCCAGCCTGTTTTATGTCATGGCTGTGTTTGAGAGTATTAAGACGGAGGGTTTCAGACAGATAGTGTTTCCCCCCCTTGTAAGCCAATCCATCCCTACATGTTAGGGAGGTTTGATTATCTTTGAACCATTGATCGGTGAGGAGCCTTATTTTATTTTCTTTGCCCCAGGGTCATCAGGATTAGGGGCTCTGCGGGGTGTGAGTTGAGCAGCAGTTTCTGGACTGGAGATAATTGCCTCGTTAACCTCCTCATATTCGCTTTTGTGCTGGGGTAATCAGGATAGCGCATCAGCTAGGAAGTTTTTTCCTCCCAGTATGTACTTTAGAGTGAAGTAGAAGCGGTTAAAGTACTGTGCCCACCGCACTTGCTTTGGGAACAATTTGCGGGGAGTTTTCAGTGCTTCTAGATTTTTGTGATCTGTCCATACTTCAAATGGCACCTTGCTCCCTTCTAGATAGTGTCGCCAGTTTAACAGCCTCCACATAATTGTGAAGGCCTCCTTCTCCCAGATTGCCCATCTCCTCTCGCTTTCAGTAAAATTTTTAGAGGTGTAGGCGCAGGGTTGTAGAACTCCACTTTTGTTCTTTTGCAGTAATACAGCTTTGACTGCCACGTCGCTGTCGTCAGCTTGGATTACAAAGGGTTCCCCTGGGCAGGGGTGCTTTAGGACCGGTTCAGCAGCAAATAGTCTTTTTAAATTCTCAAAAGCTGTTTGACAGCTCATAGTCCATGTTAGTGGTTGGCCCAGTCACGGTTTTCCTCCCCCTTTGCCTGTTTTGAGTAGTTCTGTAAGGGGTAGGGCAATCTCGGCAAAGGAGGGGATGAATTGACAATAAAAGTTGGCAAAATCTAAAAAGCTCTGAAACTGTTTGTGAGTCTTTGGGTGCTGCCACTCAATTATAGTTCTCACTTTGGCGGGGGTCAGTTTCTACGCCCTCGTTGGAAATTCTGTAGCCAAGATAACCTAATCGGGTCTGGTGAAATTCACATTTTGACAATTTGGTATAAAGCTTGGCATTCAATAGTTTTTTTTAACACTTCTCTCACCAGTTTTATGTGATCAGTCATATTCGTGCTGTATATCAGGATATCATCAAGATACACCAAAACCCCTTTCTACAAGTGATCATGTAGGACCTCATTAATCAACTGCATAAATATGGCTGGGCCCCCCTGTATTCCAAATGGCATGACTTTGAATTGATAGCTCCCCATGGGGCAGTTGAAGGCAGTTTTCCACTCATCTCCCTCCTTTATTCTCACTTGCGGGGGTTTCCAAACCTCCCATTGCTGCAGGGGCCCCAGGCTGGGGCTCGCTCTCTCTGTGGGGCTGGAGGGCCTGGCAGGGGACTCCTGGGGCTGGAGGGCTGTCTGGTCTGCTGACAGGAGTTTCCACCCACCCAAATTCTCAGTGGCAGACAATCTGGTAGCTCTCCACCATTCTGCTTTTGAAGTCTTTTGAGGGCAGCAAGGCAGTCTCGAGGTGTCTGGAGTCTCCGCTGGGCTGGGTCCAGCCTGACGTCCAGATAAGCTCTCCTAGCTACTTGGGTTTTTTCTCCAGCTGGGAATTCTGCCAAAGCTCTTCCTCCCCCGGCATCCTGGCTGTCGCTCCCCCCCCCCCGGGGTAGCAGCTGATGCCAGGCTGTTTGCTTCGGGCAATTTCCCTTTCTCCTTGATGAGAAAGTTTAGGACTCCTAGATTTTTTGAAAAGTTTGTAGATCTTGGCATGATGTCATGGCTCCGACTAACAAAACACTTCAAAGAACTTTCAGGTATTGTATATCCTAAAAAGTCTTTAATCGTGAAACAAAGTGTCAGTACAGTATGGTGGATGCCAAGATCTGAATTCCCCTCCCTTCAGCATATAATATCTGGCACAATTCCCTCCTCCAATTAGCTGTCATAAATCATGTTCTCCAATTAGTTTGAAGGGCAAAGCTTCCCTTCCGTTCTGTAACGCGCCATTTCTTATCTTATTAAATACAATCGGGGGAAACATTCTTCCTCCTCCCCCCAGCATCTTCTAATTCTAAGAGCAAAGCAAAGTAAAGGAAAAGGCTGCCTCTTTATATTGTCAAAGCAAAAACATCCAATGTTTGCAGTGTTGGCATCTGGGGTGAAATCTGTCAGGTCCCTGTTCTCTCTGGTTGGATTTTGGTCATTTGCACTTTCTCAGTCTAAGTTATTTTTGTGGGGGGAAATAGCACTATTGGCAATACTAATCCAAACACTGAGCCTTTCGTTTATAAGATAGGAAGGAAGGTACTGTATGCCTAACTAACACAGTTTGTAAAAATATATGTTTCTCTTCAACAGGATAACATTGAAATCCCTATCCCAAGGTACTTTATCAAGGAGAAAATTAAAGTATTAAAAGAGAGAGAGAGAATCCTTGCTCAGATCATGTTGGATGCCGGAATGTATGAAGATGAACCCGTAAGTATATCTATATAATAAACTGAGGATACAGGTAATCCTCGTTTAGCAACCACTTGTTCAGTGACCATTCAGAGTCACAGTGATGCTGAACAAAGGTACTTATGACCAATCCACAAAGTTACAACTGTCACAGTATCCTGGTGGTCATATGATTGCAATTTTGGCACTTGGCAACTGGCTTGCAGTTACAACTTCCTTGCCAGCTTTCCTCAAGCAAAGTTAATGGGGAAGCCAGAAGAATAGGTCACAAATTGCTCCTCTGCTTTTTCTCCCAGGGAGCCCCCCAGGCAGCAAAGCAAGTGCAGATCCCAAAAGGCAGGCAGTTACCTTCTCGCCCACACTTGGACTACAGTGCTCACCACTCCACAACACCTGCCCATCCCCGCTCACTCATGCCATTCAGCTGCACTCACACTGCAGCACCCAGCCACATTGCAGCTCCCATTCCCCAGACACCTGATTCTCACTTAACAATTGCAATGAGAATTGCTGGAATTGATTGCTAAGCAAGGCAGTTATGTGACATCACACTTTATAATCACTTGCTTGGGGAGGGAAATTCTGATCTCAATTACCATCGTTAAGCAAGGACTACTTGAAATCTGAATATCATAATGACTTAATTAAAGAGAATATATCATGATGTTGATCATAATTATGGGACTAGGCAGAAACTTCTCAATTTTGTAACACCCTTAAACTATATGCATATACATATACATACCCATACACATCTTTAAATATTGTCTTTTGTTATTTAAACTTCTCATATTTTTCTTTGATGGGAGCTCCATTCAATCATAAATTGGTTGATCTTCCTGTGAACCCCCTCATTCCACTTTCATGTTTGTTTCCAGTGCAATCCTCATTATTTCTATATAACCAAATCACATCAGCATACAGTACTTTGTTCATACCAGTCACTCACTTCTGTGTTCAGTACCCATACATTCTTGATCTTTTCACTTCTTTTATTAGCTCCAAGTAACACATTTTCACTCCATACAACATTTATGTTTCTCTTGACATAGGTATCATCCCATGTAAAAAGGGGAGCAGAAGCACATGTTTATGCAGATATTTTTGTTTCTGTGAAAATAATATATTTCTCATACCAGTCCACATACAGCATTTTTGCATTAGCATTTGTACATTTTAGCATTTCTTCATGCATTTTTCCATCTTTAGAAAACATTTTTCCCAGCTGTACAAATTCATCTACATGCTCTAGTTCAATGATGGCGAACCTTGGGCTTCCGGTTTGAATTCCTGTGTCGATGGCAGCTTTTCTTTTGGCTGCCTGCCCCGAGGACGCGTAAAAGCCGCGGGAGCAGCATCAAACAGCTGCTCCGCGGCTTGGAATCCCCTTCCCCGGGCAAAGGGGAGGGGGGAGAGTTTCCCTGATAGGGGTAGAACTCCCGAGCTCTCACAGTTTTATAGCTGTGGGGGCGGAGGTGAGGTCCCCCAGAGTCAAGGATTTCTCCGCGCTTCGGGTTGCCTCCATTCTTTGAACGAAGCCAGACACGGATTCAACCTCTGCTTATGGGAGATCGTGAGTAACTTTTGGGAGCAGACAGAGCGATCCAGGTGCTTGGGAGCTGCATGGATATGAGCCTTCAGCTCGGATTTTAATAATTTCTCCATTGAGATTTAAAGCTTAAGAAGAAAAAAAGAAAAAATGGCCGTGGAAGGGCGTTTTGCTCTTTAATAGAGACTTTCATTTACTGATAACTTTTACTTTGGTTTCACTTTCTGCTGGATTATTATTGTTTCAGAACTATTGGTACTGTTGGTGAGCAAACTACTGGACATTGTATTACATAAATTGATTTAGAGAAGAGGGGGGAAATTTTCAAAGCGGGGGGGGAAATTTTCCTCCTCCTCAGAAAGGCTTGAGCTCTTCTTCTCCAGCTGTACAGTTATCACAGCAAACAAAACCTACTCCCCCACCCTCTCCTCCATTGCCAGCTTTAACATTGAAAGATTTACAAGATGCCTTAAAGGACACTGTTAAACTGTTTGAAGAGAAACTTGAGGAGAAACTTGAGGAAAAACTTGAAGAAAAAAATGTTGAACTGAGAGATGATATAGTGTTTGCGTTGCAAGCTTTGGCTGATAATGTAGATCGTGTTGCAGGGCGGGTCGAGGATGTGGAGGAGCAGATTGAAGTTTTGGATATTAGAATGGGCAAGGTTGAAGAGAGTACTGATATAAATCAGAATG